TTTTTTTTTTTTTTTTTTTTTTTTTTTTAGAATGAGAATGAGGATGAGTCTCGTAACATGACTTCAAATAACTCGTAAATTATTTGCTGTACAAAAAAATGTTTCAAACAAAAATTGCATAGTTTCCCGGGAAGCATATACGATTGTAATTACCTCATTGTTTACTTTGTAATTTTATTGAGATATGACAATTTTTTTAACTAGATGCCTAATACATATATTTTCTTGGATTCGAATAAGATATTAAATTTTTCATAAAAAAAAATTAAACGACATGGAGTCCAAAATTAACAATTATTTAGATATTATCAAAATAAGTTTCATTTCAAGTGTTCGAGCTGTCGTTCATTGTAATTAACGCACTTAATTAATCATATTATAAGTAAACAATAAATTTTTTCAAGCTTATCTACAATTATTGCGATATATGCGTTAGTATCTTCGACACGATAGACGTTAGTAACCTCGACACTGGTTCACGATAATATCCAAAAGAAACAATGAAGTAAAGTCTTGAAAAAATAATAGAATGTAATGATTTTTTTTTTTATTTTGGTTAAAATATCCAGCTTAGTACAATATTTTAATTTTTACAAAATTTTCGTTTATACATTATAAATGTGTTTTTTTTATTATTATTAAACATAATAATAAACACTCTCTATATATACAATACAGTTCAATTATTCTTTGGACAATACTAACATATTTCATATTAATTATGTCTAACATCTAACAAAAATTGTATTACAAATATAATCTACCGTTATAATTATAGTTACTTTTATTGACCATATTTTCTAACACAGGATGAAGAATATTGAGAATATCTTATTAATTATTAATTATTAATTATTCTTAATTATTAATTTTACCTCTTATTAATATTTTACAAAATTTGATGCTTTGTTTGACTCCAAGAGAAAATATTAAACGTTCTATTTAAGAAATTGAAGCTGGCCTTCGTATCTCGATAAAAAAAGCAAAATAAGAATAAAGCAATTATAATATACCCTTCAAAAAACTTTGATAACTTTTTAACCAAAAGCTTTTAAAAAATTTCGTACAACGAAAAATTTGGATCATGTTATTTGAAATTGTATATATCGATAACTAAAATAAATTAATACGGATGACAGTTTCAATATACCAAAAGTAGAAAATACTATATACTGAGGCCAATTTTCCTAAATTACACAGATAAATAAGCATGCTAATGTAGGTTTTAAGAAACTGATCGAATGCTATCGAAAGTTGCCAGCTGCCAATTGTGCATTAAAGGAATCTCTACATTCCCCTTCCTCTTTCTCAGCAGTAGCCAACTTGTTTTTCCAAGGATCCGCTTCCAGATGCTTTACCGAACTCCCTCGCTTCTTGTTTTTGCCATTTTTGTCTCCTGGCGGCGTGCATCGTTTGATTCACGCATGGATGAACACCCACGAATTTTAACTCTCTCCATCATCAATAATCTTCAATCTTTTGATGTAAACTCTTTTCTTTTTTATTTAATCATTGAGTCACTAAATATTGAAAAGATTGAGTCAATCAACGAATAGATTTAGGTCAACCGTATTTAATATCTATAATGAGAAACTGTGATTGTTCTTATATTATACTAAATATAAGATAAAGATTCATTTAATTATTTTCATTAACAAATACAACAAATAAATTGGAAAAAAGGAAACGAAACGATTGCATTCTATTAAAAATTTTAATTGCGCATCGTAGTTTCCCATCAATTGGTTAGTTGCTATTCTATTCTATTCTAATAAACATGAAAATTCTATATAATAAACATTAATCATGAATAATGCTATTTTAATATTTAAATAATTGTCTCCGAAAAGAAATCTTTGAAACTAACTTTATTAAAGAAATCAAAGAACTTGAAACGACCGAAGTTCAGTCGATTTATTGGAATTTTCATTAAAAAGCAAATCGTTCCTTTCTCTTTCTGCTTACTAAACCTCGACTACCTTCTTTTTTTTTTTTTTTATTAACGGTACGTCGAGTTATTCTGCAATTTCCTTAGACAATAAGCACAGTTGAGAAAAAGAAAGACGAAACAAGAGTTGGTGAAGGAAGAGTCGCTGCTTCCTTTCATAAAATCCAATTTAAGAACTGTTTCTGATCCCCGTCGTTTGTCCTTATTTTATAGTAATAAAGAGCCACCGAGACTTCTTTATACACTTGCAAGTAAACTGCAGTTAACATAACGGTTATTATTTTGTGTCCTCAAACTAGTGTTACACAAATTTAATATATACATTAAGGAAATATCTGCTACAAACATTATAAAATTGATCGAATCATCGTTATTTCAGGATTGTGTATTTTTGTACATTATCCGAATGATTTTAAAGCGATGTTTCTCTCTGTTCTTTTCATAGATTGACTTAAATGTTAATTTAAAATATATATTATTAAAAATCACAAGTCATTATATAACTTTTATTAATATATTTTTTACATATTAAAATTTCATTAGGTAATTTTTACTATAAAGAAAAGAAATGAAAATTACATTTTGCTAAATGAAAACATAAATGAAAGCAAATTACATTTCACTAAAATCTAAAATAATGGCAAGGCTCTACATCATTTATAATATTACGATAATCATTCCATAATCGATCTTCTTTAAAACATACGGTTCCACCACCTCGAGAATACTGTGTATCCTAAAGAGAGAATTATCTTCAAGATTTTATAATTTTGTAAACATTTTTAAAATATATACTTACGGCTCTATTAATATCACCAATGCAAACCCAGTGATTAACGGACTTCTTGGTGTCTGTAATAGCCCATTTGGAATGATCATGACTGTTAGTACAATCTACATTCGCAACATCAAATTTAAGGCTTTTGATATTGTAAATCCTGTAAAACATGTTCTTTTAACAAGAAACATTGAAAACGACAGAACAGAGATTAAAAAGTAATATTACCTACTTTCTACGAGTACAAATTGTAGGTAATTTGCCCCGACTATTCAACCAAGACTGAACAAATAGATCTGACTGCAATTGTGGCGCTACAAAATCTCCATATAACTCTAA